TTTAATAATAATAATAATAATAATTTATTTATTATTATTATTATTATTATTATTATTATTATTTTTGTCTTAGCCCTGAAACATTACTACACATAGTAGCTGGATGTCAGTTTTACCTCGACCGATTTACGTGGAGACACAATTCAGTCCTGAACTTTCTTGCTCATCAGTTACAAACTGTTGACGGTTCTACTCTCTACGCTGATCTAAATGGATTCAAAAGCCCTTCAATACTTATTGGTGATACGTATCGCCCAGATTTGTTATTATCGTGCTCAAATGGTTCCTTATATGTGGTTGAACTCACCACTGGTTATGAGACAAACCTCAAAAACAACGTAAAACGGAAGAAGGATAAATGTAGAGAATTATTGAGACAGCTAGGTAAAAATTTTAACCAAGTTAAATTTATAAATCTCTCCATCAGCTCTTTAGGTATTTTTGCAGAAGAATGTTATACATTTTTAGACATGTTAGATAGTATTGGTCTTGACAAAAACCACCAAATGTACTGCGTTAGGAAAATGATGACTATTGCTATTAGAACTACATATTACATTTTTTGCTGCCGAAATAGGGAATGGGAAAATCCGGATTTACTAACAATTTGACTTATCTCATTGTATATATATATATATTGCATGCACTTTGTTCTGTTATTTTAGTTTAGTATAATTGTGATTCAAATAGCCAACCGTAAGTTACCTTTATGAGAGAGATTTACGAGTGTATATGTATGTAAAGAAAAACATTTAATAAAGTTTCCATTATTATTATTATTATTATTATTATTATTATTATTATTATTATTATTATTATTATTATTATTATTATTATTATTATTATTATTATTATTATTATTATTATTATTATTATCATTATTATTATAATAATTATTATTATTATTATTATTATTAACCTTGACCCCCCGACCTATCAACAAATTACGAATGTTATACGCAAAATGAAATCGTCTGGTTCTCCTTGCCCTCTTGATCAACTTTCTATAATAAGTTTCAAGCATTGTCCTTATCTGAGAACTTACCTTACTGAGCTAATTCACGATATTTGGCTATCTGGAACTGTCCCAACTGAGTGGAAAAGAGCATGTACCATACTCATCCACAAGAAAGGCAACAATAATGACCCTTCAAATTTCCGCCCCATAACACTCGAATTCATACCTTTAAAAGTATTTACATCTTGTCTCCGAAACGCAGTATACTCCTTCCTCGCATCTAATAACTTCGTCGAACACAACATACAAAAAGTCTTCACCCCCAACC